GCCGAATTCTCTATATAATTTTCTCGAAGTTAGGGGGAAATTTGATGGGGATTCAGTAGATTAAAAGCAATGGCACCTTCTTCCCAAAAGTCTTTCATTTCTTTCCTTTGGTTTCTTTCTTTCTCATATGGTTGCCTTGTTATTATATTGTATCCAAAAGCATAATAAAACTCAAAATTAAGAAAAAGTAATGGCTTTTGCATCTACTAAAATCCAGCTTTACTTACATTATTGAGAAATTGATGTTATTGTAATATAGGAAAATATTAAATCTAATCATTTCTTTGATTGAAATGCATAATAGATCAAATTGGATAGATTCGTAAGCTTCGAAGATTGATCGATTGGGAATTCATCGCAGAATAACCAATCCGTCCAAGGCAGAAAATTCGAATCGAAATGTCGAATAGGGTTACTTACAATTTCTAACTGGAATGCTAGATTTTTCCAACTTCGCACTTCGCACTTTGTAACTGAAGTTTCATATACACGTATATTTATAATTGAATACGTACAGTTGTTTGTATTTAAGAAGCAAATATTATTTTCATTTAACTGAAATCCATAACTAGAATTCCAAATTAAATTCCAAAAACCAATTAAATTTAATTTATTAATTTCTGACGAGCAGTTGAAAATACATAGGAAAATCATTTGTGGAGTTTATGTAAGTATGTGTGCTGATAAATATTTGAAGTATGATATTTACTTAACATGAGCAGTTGAATGGCTTTTTGCAATGCAGAGGACATTTAGAAATGTTAATCACATCTTATTTTTCAAATAAATCATCACACGTTTGCATGTACATACATACATTCACGTGTATGCACAAGTATAATTTTGTTGTTTACTTTAAGAGATTAAATATTTCATTAACAGTTTCATGCTTTTGCCTATTGGGCATGTAATATTTTTAAACAATTATAATTGGTAGCGTAAATTTAATATTCCAATTAATTTTTCTCTTATCAACACAGCAGTGTCAGTGTCTGACTAGTAAAATCCCCACAAGAATAACGCCGTAGTTATTAAGTCAATATTTTACTAAGCAAACCCCAATATTCTTTCGTGGTGAGACCATTGTGAACACCAAAAAAAATACTTTTTTTCAAGAACTTTTTTTGGAAAGAAAGACAATACAATTATAATGTTTTCAAATATTATTAGTTTCGTATTTAAGTAGAAGAAACTTGATTTACAACAAAATAATATTTTCAAACGGCGGAACCATAGACAATTTTCTTCCAGGAGCTCATAAAACCTTGCCGCACACAGGGTGCAAAATAGAACAGGCAACAAAGTGAAAATTAGTTGCTTATCTATTGTACATGAGAAAGCTGGAGAGTGGCGTATGGATTTTTATATTTTTATTTTTTGTGAAATTTGGAAGAAAAACTCAAAAAACGGCACCTAATTGTTTATATCTACTGTTTTAATTAGGATTTCGAAAATCCAATACGCAATTTTTTTGAAATAATATTAAAAATATGTAAAAAAAAGCCAGTTGAAACTATTGAAAATTGTTTGAGTTGTGCTGCGTGCCAACTTCAGACTACAGTAGCCTTACCCCTTAAGCATCTTCAACGAAATAGTTAAAGACTCCATCATCGTCATAAAAGCACTGTTTTGTTAGCGGTCGTCCCACGATCAAAAGTTTACGTCATTCATACAGATTTCCCAATTTATCCTCGTCATTTGCGAGAGTTTTACTATCTAATGAGTTCTGCATAGATCTGAACCAATGGTAGTCTGACTATGTATGGTGGATGCACTAAGAGAATCCAGCCAAGCTCTCTCATTTTTTGGTGAGTTACCAAAGATATGTGCGGTCTAGCATTGTCGTGGTGGAATATATTAACTTTACGATTGACCAATTCTGGCCGCTTCTCGTTGATGGATGTATATTATTTGTCCAGTTGTTTACAGTAGAAATCCGAATTAATCGTTGGGTTTCTTGGTAGCAACTCAAAATATACCACTCCTTCCCAATCCCACTAAAATGACAGCGCAATCTTCTTTTGGTAAACATCATCCTTTGAAGTGGTTTGTGGCGTTTCATCATGCTTGGACCACTATCATTTTCGATTGACGTTCATGTAAACAATCCATTTTTCATTGTGTGATTCTTCAGTTATGATTTATTTTGCTTCAAAAACGGATCATATTCATGGCGTTTAAGATGGATTTTACAAGCGTTGAAGCGGCTTGTCAAATGAATTTCTCTCAATTCATAAGGTACCCAAATATCGGTTGATTTTAATATACTTAACTTCTCTCTAATCTCACGCTCAGTTACATTACAAATCTAATCGATTAAAGCCTTGATATCGTCATCATCAACTTTACTTGGCTAACCGGAACGTGGCTTAGTTTGAGTGAAAAGCCTCCCGAACGGAATTTGATAAACCAACTTCGGCTCTGTGTTTCTCTTGAGGCAAATTATGGAACTTTTGAGCCTCTTTTGAAGGTTGGTCTGAATAGTAATCTAACCCTTGTCAACTATTTGATAACTTTCTTACTTTACTGGCGTAGACACAGCCTACGCGATTATTGCCGAGTTAACCACATTACATTTATTATTAGATTATTCTCTATCTTGTCTTTCCAACAGAGTTGTGGATACTGCATCGAAAGTATTTCAAAGTTAGAGTATTCGTATCCATCCGGACCATATGTCCTAGGCAGCGGAACCGCTGCCTTTTGATTCGCTGAACTATGTCAACGTCGCGTTAAAACTCGTATAGCTTATCGTTTCATCGTTTGGCATATTCGTCGTTCCCAATTCATGGATCACCACAAATCATACGCAAAACCTGCTCTCGAAAACTCCTAACGCCGACTTATCAGATATTGTCATCGTCCATACCTCCGCACCATATAGCAGAGCGGGAATGATATTTGATAAATCTTTGTGAATTTTTACTGTAAGTTATGAAGCGTCATTTATATGCATTCATATTAGGTCAAGTAAAAAGTTCATTCGGGTTTTTATTGATTTTTCAAAATATGATAACTTTGAGTACATTTGCTCGATTCAAGTTAAATATGCGCCGTTTTGTTGCATAGAATGCTGCGCCCCTATTGGCAAAAAAACTCGGAGAGACAATTTTCACAATCCTCTCCTCTCACTATTAAGCGCGTTTGAAATGGACGGGAAAATGAGGTAATCACGTGGTGCCAGATCTGGATTATAAGGTGGGTGCATTAAGACCACACATCTGAGCTCCTGGAGCTTCTGGCGCGTCGCCCAAGACGTGTGTGGCCTGGCGTTGTCCTGATGGAACACAATTCGGCCTCTGTTGATCAAAGATGCCCTCTTATGGATGAGTGTGCCTTTAAGTGGTCCATTTGTTGGCAGTAGAGGGCCGAATTGAGCATTTAGCCATAGGGGAGCAGCTCGTAGTAGAACATTCCTTTCCAATCCCACCAACTACATGGCAAAACCTGGTGCATCGTTGACATCGAAATAACCAGAACGGAACATAGCAAACCACTTTTGTGCTACCCGTTCGCTAACAGTATCGGGCCCATAAACTTAGTTAATTTTTTCAGCCGCTTTGGCCGCTTTTTCGCCTTGATCGACGAAAAATTGTAAAATATAGCGAATTTTCTCTTTGCTGGTGTCCATCTTTAACGAGCGCTCACAACCTACTGAGTCAATCAATCGAAAAACTGTGAAAGACAAACTTTTAGCGCAAAGAAACACGTTTTCAGCGCCGTATAGATTGACATGATGCGACACGTAACAATTGTACTATGGACAATAACGACATCTCTTAGATAAAAACCGATCGAACTTTTTACTCGACCTAATATATAATTATAAGCAAAAAGTAATGGGAATTTTTAATTTGAGCTTCTGGTTAATTCTTTTTTTTTTAATGTTGGTAGCACTGTTATTGAGGTCAATTTCATACAGTACTCATTCTTCTTGACCATTTCGCTAAAAATTCCACGAGTATCGTTCCCCAACCAGCGTATTCGCCGGGCTTAGCAACATATGACTTCTGGCTCTTCCAGAAAACTCAAGAGATCATTTCGAGTACACCGTTTTGAGTCGATTAAGGAGATAAGATGTCAATCGGCACGCTCTCTGAAGTCCATACCAGAACGTATTTATTTGACATGCTTGGATAATTGGCATAAGTGCATTGCATCGGCAGGGGAGCTATTTTGAAGGCGACGAAATTGAAGTAGAAGAATAAATAAAGATTTTTTATTTTACAAACAAATTCACATTACTTTTCGTACTCTGTGAGCAATTAACATTTAATATTTTTTTCTTTTTGTCTGTTTTTATACGATTTACGTTAAAGTATGATATTTTTCGTTTGGATCAAAGATTTCTACAAAACGCTCTTAAATAGTTAAATCAAATTTGAAAATTGCTGCAAAAAATTTTAATTTTGGCTAAATTGAATTAATGACTCGATAGCTAACAAGATCAAATATACATATTTTAACAAAAAAAACTTCATAATAAAAGCTTTACCAGCATCTATTCTAGTTTTACTACTTCCCATTACATACAGCTCAAGCATTACATATAGACTAACCTTGATAAAATGAAATAACAATTCACATAAACCAGTAAGATTATAAACCGAATTATACACCTGTTCACAGATATTTCCATTTGTCGGTTAGTTACTAATTTATCATTGTGGATTGCCCTAGATTACATAAAGAATTACTACTCAGTCATTGTGGCGCTCAAAAGAGGCAAATACTCTCCGGTAACTTCAATAACAGAATTCACCTTTTGTCATCGCTCACCACGTGAGTATGCAAATTGAGAATTAAGCGAATACAAATGAGAATATCAACTCTCGCGTGATCATTTGTATTGCCGTGTGTGCATCTACTCAGCGCACAGCATACTTGTTTGCAAGAAACAATAACCGGCCAGAGTGGATTGAGCGCGCTATCAAAGCCCCAAATAAATGTATGTATGTCTGCTATCCACTTTAAATGCCAGTATCTGCACCGGTGTGAAGACGATCTGTTTTTCGCTGAATAGTTAGTAGAGATTAGACGCGGCGGTTGTTATATTGTGACTAATGGACTAACGGACGTACACGAATTTAGCGGTTAATTGTTAAAAATGCACACGGAGATTGTATACAGTGGGTTGCAAACGAACTACAATTCAAACCAACAAAGTGGAGAATATGAATTGAAGGACAAAGACAAAAGTGAGAAAGTGGTGCAATATGAAAGCGCTGCAAGTGAAACCGACAGCACTTCAAATGCAGCTGACCTTGACACTGATAACATTTATCAGCATTATGAGTCTTCGGTGCGTCTGCTGCGCATAAGAAAATCTATAACCGGCTCTTGTGGTTTTCATTTGACGCGCACCAAATGGGATCCCTATCCGTGGGTGCGTATGAGTGACGTAGTCGTTGTTATAGCCTGCATTGCGTATACGTAAAATTAACTAATAAATTTTATTCAAAGTTCGAGACATTTTTTGAAGTGAAAAAAAATACTAATAAACTGAGATACCTACACATATATGTATATGTAAATGTACGCTATTTAATTTTATAATTGTGCTCATTTACTACTTAATTGCTGCACTTACATATTTACATATATTTTTTTATTCATTCATACATTTCGTTTTCCATTGTCCCATTAGGTGAGCGCAGTCGATGCACACACCGCAGCGGAAATGAGCGGTCTGAAGGCAGGCGATTGTGTACTGGAGGTCAGTGCAACAAAAATTTTATATATGTACATTTATATATATGACAAAACATTGGTAGAATATCATAAAAGATAATTTAAATGCAATAAAATTGCAATCGATAATTATGTAAGTATGTATAGAACCGGATTTCATAATCGCCGATTCTTATAATGAACAGCTTTTAAACAGCAAACTGAAGAGGTGATAAAAATTTTTATTTCATTCATTTTAATCGTATATATATAAATGTCTATCCTATAATTTGAAACAAAAAACTAGTTCTTGATCTCAGATGTTATATTGTATTCCAGTAAAGTCCAATATTAAGCCACTGTCTTTGAAATAAGAATTAAATGCAACAGAAAAAGCAAAGGACCACTTTCAGCAAACAATAATTCTTTTCCTCAATTCCATTACTCATCAATCCTTTGTAGCCGAGCTATAGACGATCGAGCGCTGGAAATTTGAAACACTAAATAAAATTATTACCATCTTCTTTCCTTGTTCGCTCTAATGGATTTAAGGTCTTCGCCGGCATTTACTGTGTCGAAAACCTTCAGAGCAGCAGTCCAATCGCCAACACGACTTTCCTCATTGTTTCGTCATCTGCGGTATTTGCCTTTGCCAATGGGCAAATATACGCAAATCGATCGCAAATCCTTACTCCTGAAAGCTCCCAGCTTATCCTCATTAGTTGTCACTGATTTTAACTAGCCACTTGTATGTAGAGCTTGGCCTTTGTTCGTCGAGGAAAGACTCTACTTTTCAGTTATCCACAAATTCCCATGTAGCAGCTATTAGACACAATATTTCTGTTTATATTCATGGCTGAAATTGTTTCTGTTGTCAATGCAGATTCTAAGTTAAGCGAAATTTCTGTGATTTCAAAATTGCGACTGTCATAAGACCTGTGGGAGCTAAAACTGGATTTCGCTAACTTTTCGTTTGATTGCAGCATAAACTTTGTCTTGTAATTTCAAACTACCAGAATTATGCGCTTTGCTTCCTTATCTAATCTGAAGAAATTAGTTCTGAAGACACGATAAAGAGTCGCTTTGCCTGAATCCTTGCTTGCATTGAATGGTCGATGGTGATCGTTTCTGAATCTGGCAGAATATCGGTTCTACAACCGTATGATTTTTGCGAGGATACCGAATCCAAAAATAACGGCATAGAGGCAACACACTTTCCTGCCATCAAAACCTGTTTCAAAAGCGACGAAATCAGGGTCTGTAATGATGTCTTTTCCAGGATTTGGCTCATGATTAATGTCTGATGAATAGTAAAACTACAAGATGACGACTTTAGTCCTTAACTTCGTAGTCTCGCTAAGACCTAATTCGCTGTATTGAGGTAGTATGTCGCATTGTAAGGGCCACAGTGAGGGGTATATTTGCTAATCGCTATTGGAAATTCTTCCTGTAATCGAACTTCTGTTTCAACATCACCAATTGTGATAATTGGATCCAGTGCTATTTAGAAGGCAGGAGAGTTGTTCTATCCTTTAATTCTAGACATCAGTCGTTAGAGCACCTTTTTTAGGCCCAAATAAGATTTCTCCGGTATTGAAATCTCTTGGGAATCGATGAATTTTGTCATGAAACTTTTAGGCATTACTCCTCTCGACCACCTACTGAAGGTCTACTTACTCGCGCTATTTTTTCAGTCTGCTTCTTAACCATCTCTACGATTTTCAACACATTTGAGCAGCTGAACAATGAACCGGTATCAAGAGCTGTGATACACCCATACATGTTTCGAAGGCTATCTTTCGTCAGAAATTTTTAAAATTTTCATTAGAAGACTCGACTTCACTGATTGTGAATTTGAAGCAAAATCGAAACTTACACCAACCAACCCTGTCATTATAAAATTTAGAAAATATACGCTTTACGCATTACATATGCAGATACTGGTTTGAGTAATCGCTGAAACGATCCTTGAACATTCGCTCTATGCATTGCCTTTACATGCACATAAGCTTTTCTGAAGACACACTCAATGTATTGGTCAGAACCTTGTGGAAATCCGTTCAGTAGCTTTTAAGTTTATCGTGACAGACAAACAGCCCCGGAGAAGGGCTTTGATTTATAACATTTGAGGATGCTAAATTTATATTTCATTTAATATGACATAAGCACCTGCGTAAATGCAATTCTTGTTTTCACTTTTTTATTTTTAACCGATCTCAGTTCTGTTACCAACAGCGCATAAATTACTTTGCTTACTTAAACCGAGTTTTTACTTTTTTATTTTTATTTTTTTTTTTTTTTTTTTTTTTTTTTTTTTGGATACTAACACCATCTTCTTTGCCTACGGCATAATCGCTGACGTCATTTAGCTGGCGCATGGCCTGGCTTAACAAGCATATACTTATGTATGTACGCACATATTTTGCTTGTTGTTGTTTTACAATTTGTTAAGCTGATTTTTGTTTTTGATTCAGTTTGGCCTGAAAACATATCGCTAATTGCGGCCATTGTATTTTTTTAGCATTTCTTCTTGGTGATTCTTATGCAGCTCAGGTAGAGCTCATATCGATTGCATTCTTACTTCACATCATTCTGCGTACAACCGGCATATTGATTATATACCAACAACGATAGAACGGGGAATTCAATTCAGACTCCTCATGCTCACGATGCGATATTTTATTACTTGTCTGAAATACACTACGAGGACTTGACATTTCCTGCCACAATTAGAAAAAATAAGTTTTATTTACAATTATGGGAAATTGGTGGAACAGGCAATAGCTATAACGGCTACGTTTGGTTACGTTCACTTTCTTAGAATCAAATACTACTTCTTGTAAAATTTCCGAAGCTTAGGTCTCGTAACTTCAAAAATCCAATTCGCAAACCCACCTTCTGGGCAGGATTGCGGATTTTTACCTGCTTCTAGTGCAGTCACTCTCGTAACAAAAACCTACGTCCCAAACGATTTGAGCATTTCCCTACTTATTTATTCACTTATATTCTAATTTTTGCATTAAATTACATTAACAGCGAGCATTATTTATTAGGAAATCTGCTACATTTGGCAATTGTTCAAGATTAATTAATTTCGATTTGATTTTTTTTTACGGTTGGAATAATGAGCGAGGCGTAGTTATTTTTTTTTTTGTATTGTACATTCCGGCAAAATGTTGATTTTTTTATTAATGAAATGATAACGATTTTTTTTATTAAAAAAAATCCGAATAAAAAAATTTAATTTTAAAACAAAATAAGCAGAAATTAATTTATTTTTATTGCAAATGATTTCAGAATAATGTCAAACACATACATTCATAAAATAAAATTGTTTAATTACTTATTTTGTTATCTAAATGTACATAACAGCTTTTGTTCAAAGAGAAAATTATACCGCAAAGCGTTTATCTCTTTTCCTTGTGTACTTTTTCAACACCGTAGCAGAATTTGATTAACAAACAAATTTGTTTGATTAATGGGCGATAGGAACAGTAAATATTTTGATACCGTTTAATAAAAAAAATAAATATGTATGTATGGGAGTATATGTAATAACATTGAAAAAATGCATTCTGAACCGAGTTTGCTAGGGGCGATGCTAGTTTGAGCTATATAGATCTGTCCGTACAAGGGTTAGCTTTCAAAAATAATTTTTAACGAAAAGTCTACCATCCAGTAAAAGTAGTCTCTGAACAGCATCTTGAGCTGTGCTGGATGTTGTAAAGGGCTTTCCAATAAGAAGTGTTATTTTTAGTAGTCTACTATCCTTGTAGATGTCCCTTTTGAAACTGTTTTTTTTTTTTAACATTTGACAAGAAATAACGACGCCAATAATAAAAATGGAACACGCTTTAACTCGGCATTGAAGTTTCTAAAATTCACTATAAAAATGGTGAAAATCTAGCAGGGATGGTTGGTAAAAATAAAACATTTTTCGAACACAGTGATGTACCTCGTCACGGCAATAGGAAATTTGGTTAAAGAAGAATAAGTAACGTGAATAAAACACGTGTACGTCGCTAAAGAATAACTGAAAATATTGCTGCTGAAGCCCAAAGTGTCGAAGAAAACCCAGGTTTCACATTCGTTCTCTGGAATTGAGCGTTCCTCAAACGTTATTACACCATGTTTTACATAAAGACTTGTGCCTTAAACAAATAAGGTTCAATAAGCACAATAACTCAAGCCGGCCCGATCATCAGCAACGTCGTGTCTTTGCTGAACGGATCGTTGAAATGCATGAAAATGAATCGGAATCTAATCGAAAAAATCAACTTGACTGGTAAGGTCCATTCTCACCACGTTGGTTACTTCAATAAGCAAAGCTGGCGCATCTGAGGACCAGAAAACCAAATAATATATTGTTGGAAGAGCTTTCCATTCTCAGCGTGTAACTGTTTCGTATACCTTATGGTCCAAGAAGGTCATTGTATCTAAATTTTTTTTTAAGTGCTGGAGCAACTGTTACGGTGAATGAATTGCGCTATGGAGAGATGAGTAATGAATTTTTATGGCCGGATTGGGATCGTATTGATCTTGACAACGTTTACTTTCAACAAGATCCGCTGGTACGTGCCGCACAAGCAACGAAGCAATCGATATTTTAAGGGAAAAGTTTCCGGACCGTGTTATCCGTCGAAGAAGGTGATCGCAATTGATCGATTCAAGACTTTAAAGATGGAACTCGTGCGACTATTGATGTTTTACAGCGGCGAATTTGCGATTTGGTGATGGAAGATTTCTTAAAACGGATACCGTCTTGTAACGTAGACGTGGTGGCCATTCAGCTGATCATTTATCGCAAAATATGTAATTTTTCTTTGAATATCAAAAAGAGAGGGGATTTATTGGAGTCTGCAGATTTATAATTTACTTTTTTGCGTCTTTCCATTCCTGTTTCTTTGAACATAAGCCTTTGAAGACAATAACGACCAATGTATTTCGTGCAGTTTTTTTACGATCCTAGGCTCAAATATATTTTGTATTCTCCTCTTCCCACTCAGACCGGGCCTTTATGAAAGGCCTGTTCACCTAAACAGCGTT